AGGATCCGACTGTTCTGTTCTCTGAGGTGTCTTTCTCCCAGCCTGGTGCTGCTAAGCGACGCTGGCATCGCTCAGGTCACAGCGAACGTCACTCTCTGGAGAGCACAGGAAGCATCTTGCCATCGACACGGGCCCACTCGATCCGCTCAAACCACGATGGTTATGCAAACAGTCATAGGAGTGCATCGATCTCATCACAAGAGCAAGACCCGCGGCAGACCAGTCGTCGCGCATCGATGGATTCTGAACACCTAGACCCAATGGCAGCAAGACGAGCCTCGGTTGTAAGCTGGATCCATCGAAAAATGTCTGTAATATCAGGAGGCGATGGCGCGAACACTCAGAGGTACCTCCAAGAGTCGGAAGAAGCGTGTCATTCCGAAAAGACAAATCCTGCTCCCACTCAACAAAGCGAAATGGTTGCAGTGCGAGACTTTGCCAGCCAGGCACCCGTGGGATCCGGAAGGGACCGTAAGACATCTCATTTCGGGACGCAGTTTCAACCTGAAGTACAGTTCGACGATGTAGGGTTTGAGGACTTCACAAATGAGCCCATGCCGGACAGTGATTCGGACAGCGATGGGGACAGTGATGAAGACAGCACCGAGATATCGTCTGACACTGGAATTTCCAGCATCGATGAAAAATCGACCACAGATGACGAACCTGAGGATCGCGCCAAAAGCGTGAACGCCTCGGTTTCCTCGCATCGCAGTGGAAATACCACGGACCCAGCCACCGCAAAGCCGAAGCACAGCACAGCTGCAGTTCAGGATGATGTACCTGCCGCAGCCCCAGAGGCAACGACTACCAACACGCCTGACGATCGTGATGTGTCACAGCTGGACCCCAAAGCAGTCAGCGCCACCCCTGGATCGAGTATAACAACGGAGCCAATTCGGAAGAGGCAACTTTCATTTGCCATTCCTGAGATACAACATTCTGGTAATCTCAACTCCGGTCAGACTCGCAGGCGCTACGATAAGCGATTGAGTTTGCGCCAGATACGCGGCGCTGAAGAAGAGACACCTTTCAGCCTA